TCATTTATACCAAAATTTGAAAAGCAGAATACTTAATTTTATAGATCTTGAAACTTTAAGGGCCTAAAGATTAATAATTCAATACTTTAGGGGTCAAAATTAATTAATTCAAAACTTAAAGGCAATTTAAACCAATTATGAACATATATGAGCTGAATTATTAAAACTCATAACATTAAGGCCCAATTAAGATTAACTTTAAATTTTAGGGACAGATTCATAAAATTTAACCCTAATTTTAAATTGCAAGCATGGGCCTCAAATTATCTAATTTGCAGCCCAAGCCCCCTCCCCTCAAATTCCAGACTGAAACCCTAATGGGAGCCCCTCATCTCCCTCTCCCTTGGCGACGCTTAGTGTGGCGGCCAGTAGTGGCAACCCACGTGGCAACCCATGTTGCTAGTGTCGGCGGCGGCGATTGCAGAAATTAATTTTATATATATATATTAATAGATCTGAAAATTCATCTTTTTAAAATTCAAATTTTATCAAGAAAAACTTTAATCATGAAGGAAAAAACAGGAACATTATACCAACTCCATATAATAACATAATAGAAGATCCAATAAATCGAAATTCAAAAAATTCAGAATTTTAAAACTTCAATTTGCCAAGAATCAATCATGGAGTGGCTCTGATACCACTTGATACAAAATAGAAAATGGATTATAGATTCAAATGCTTTAATCAAATCATTTTGTCATATAAACCCTAAATAATACTCCGTGTTGAAACCAGAGAAACTAACAAAATACAAACATACCTTGATCCATGTTGTTTGATTGTTTGTCTAAATGGATTACGATCTTCTAATTGATTGGTGATCTTCTTTTTAATTTCATTCTATGTTGATGGGGATGCAGAGAATCTGAAAAACACTATCAAAATAGAGATCATAACCATATAAAATAACGATAACTGAATAGTCATTATCTTTCAATTGTTTGAAATTGACTCATCATCAATTTAAAACAATATTCTGGTCTCTACACTATATTTGCATGAAACCTAATACCCATTATTCAAATACAGTTTTAACAGATTATTTTAATTGACTAATATTTTTTAAATAATAGTACCACACATTTTAATTTATTACGTGTGGCCCTAGATATGTTAGAATTTTCCAACAATATTATCAAATAACTTATTTGTTTTTCATACTCATTTTAAAGCACATTCTACCAATAAAATAATGTACACATAAATTTAAAAAAATTATCTATTTTTACCTACGTAAATCATTATTATAAAACTCATTTTAACATAAAAAAATGTGCTCAAACAAGGGCTCTGATCCCTGACAAGCTTTGATGGTACCAAAATAGAATTTTCCATTTACGTACCATGTTTGCCCCATTACCCATAACCCAAGTTTACCAATTTTCTATAGAAGAGATTACTCATAGTGGCAGAGTTGTCCAAACAAAAAAACTTAAAAGAGTTTCATATTTCAGTTCGGTCCAAATTTTGAAAAATGTTTATCAATGATAAGAAATGTTTAACGAGATGAGCAGCCCCAAAAACGAGCCTTCTACACGAGTTGAATAGAAAAAATATCGTTCAAACAATTTGCAATAAGAAAGTGAAATTGCACGAGCCAGCTCAGCTAGTCCCACAAAGGGGCCAATGGTTGAATGAGTCAAGCTGAGATTTTTTAAAGCGAGCCATCTTTCACTCAGCTTGTCCCATATCCGAGGGCGAGTTAGCTCCTGTGATGGACCTAGTCGAAATCGAAAGTGGACGAATCGAACAACTTGACTGATCATTTAACATTCCAAATGACAACTGACACCTATATCATCCTGTAGCATACAAATATGCAATTTACGGTTAATAAGTGCTCAGATAATAAATCAATTTATATTTAAATGTTTCCAGATGGATGCTAAATACATACTCGTATAAATCTAATCTTCGTCTAATCAACACTGTTTTCTCAATGATAAATGTGTTAAGAATAATGTTATTTGTACATGATGGAGTTACACAATGGTATTATATAATGGTTTACATACAGACGATGTGTCAAAAAAAGACTAGACAAGTGTTTTTTTTAATTGATTGAGATTTTTTTGACTCAATTATATATTACTACATAATGTGTATATAAATCATTATATATATATATTGAACAAGCGATGTGTTAAAAAAAAATAAAAAAATACAAGTCTTGCATTCTCAAATCTCAATAGTGTATTAAAGTCTAAAACGTCCAATCAGTTTCACTATAGAAATTGGGATAAACATGTGGAGAGTGTTGGTTGAAGTGTTAACTGTTCCCTCTAATTGTTAGTTGAAATGGATAAATATCATTAGTCAACGTTATGATTTTGTTTTTGAACGATTTTATTTTTCTTGTCTGCCCAGCGATAAATTTACTCATGATATTATTTAAGGGAAAATTACAAAAAATCAGATGTTTAAAGATTGTTTTTTAAAAATCAGGTGCAAAATTTATTTATTCAAAAATCAAGTAATATATTAAAACTCTAGCCCTAATCCCAAATAAAAGCTAAATCATTTTTCTTCTATTCCTCATCCTTTTCGATTCTCGTCTCTGTCTACCCTCTTCCTTGCCACCGTCGCCCTAATCCCATCTGTACCTGCCAATAGAAATTATGTGTCTGTACACTGCATCTACTATTTAAACCCTCCATCTCTCTTCAAATCTCCCAAAAGCTCTCTCTCTGAAAATAATTGAAAACAATACTGAAAATTTTCTTAAGAGAATGAAGAGTTTGATACGGAGGCTAGCAAGAGTGGCAGATTCTTCACAGTATTATCTTTCGTTATTAGAGTCGAGAACGAGACGACGGAGGTATGCGTCTTTGGAGAAGAACAACGGTGTACTAGAGGGACACTTGCCGGTGTACGTAGGCGAGGAAATGAAACGCTTTGTTGTGAGTGTCGAGCTTTTGAATCATCCGATTTTTGTAAAGCATCTGAATATACTGGCACAGGAGTATGGTTATGAACAAAAAGGTGTTTTACAAATTCCCTGCATTGTGTTCCTCTTCGAGCGAGCGATGGAGGCTTTGAGAATCAATGTGTTGTTGTGGCGGTGGCGGCGTGGTGAGGGTGGTCGAAAGTGGTTATAGTGGTAGTGGCGGTAGTTTGTGACCAAATGTTTGGTAATCTGTTACCAAATGTTTGGTAATTTGTGATCAATTACTCAACCGTGACTTAAAATTTTAATAATATGTGACTCAAAAATAATTTATGACCAACTAATTTAAAAATCTGTGATCTCGAAATAATCTGTGACGTACAAAATTTTTGATCTGTGATCTTGAAATAATCTGTGATAAATTAATTTTAAAATATGTGACTTGTGACCTATAATTATGTATATGTGACCATTAATTATATAACTGTGATTTTA